GAGCAGGGAGCCCAACTTGGGGCTTGATCCCAGGACCCTGGGATCATGACCTGAGCCGAAGGCAGATGCTTAATGAATGAGCCACCCAGGCACCCCAAGATATCTTGAGTTCTTGATAATTTATCCTTTTATATAACATGTAACACAGATTGTAGGAGATAATGGAAATAAAAAAGTGAGTCTCATCACATTCATTAAAGACAAAGCAGAATTATTAGTGGCTGCAAGAAAGTACTTATGGCAGGACTCAGTCTATGTGGTTTTCTGAAGTCTTTCAGTATTTCACAATCTGGGTAAAGATTTTCTCCTTTCAGATATTCACCAGAATGTTTGATATTTATTTCATTCTTATTTATGCTTTTGTTTTAAGCACTACTTCTCATGACTTCATGAAGCCATTTCCACCCAGTGATTAAGACAGGTGTGAAGTAATTTAAAAGCAAGCATGAACTAATTTTATGAAGGTTATCCATACACAAAAAAATTTCACAAAGCACATTTTTCTGACCTAACTTGGGTACTAACTGTAGCATTTGGTTCAGCTCTGCAGGTAATGCCAGTTGTTTTTTAAAAAGGTCTGCATACCCTTTTAAAGGATTTGCGTTTTTGGATCAGAATGAAAAGAGACCCACTTCCTTTCTTCCCTTATGTGTTCTTCCTCATCCCCACCATAGGAACCCACAGACACTATTTTCACTAACTCTCTGTACAACCTGGGTCAAGTGATTTAACCTTTGTAAAGGTCACTTTCCTCCTCTTTAAAATGAAAGAGTTGAGCTAAAATGCTATCTCTTTAAAGTCTTTTTTACTCTTCAAGTTCCATGATTCCTTCTGACACTTTGGAATCTTTATATTCCTCTGTTCCCTTTATATATATTTAGCAGCTTGAACCTCTAACTGCACTAACATCACTTTCCATTGTTCCACCAAGCTATTTCTTGCATTACAACCCACTTGCTAAACTGTTTTGTCTCCCTTCCAATTAATATGACCTCTTCTAGAAGAAGTAGCCTACATTTCCTCCTGTTATCAAGTGTCCAGGTTAGAGAAGGCTGGGGTTGAAGAAAGGAGTTATTCCTCAGGTCACTAGATTTTACCCATCTGACTCTTTAGACTGCTTTGTTGAGCCATTGACACAGTAACAATTTGATAATACCCCACCCAATGTTACTGGCCAGTACCTTTGAGAGAAGATGAATGAAGATCATCTTATCTGACATCTAAAAGTGGTTCCATTTTTAGATACCTCTAAAGTTATTAAAATTATTTGTTCTTAACACAGAAGTTTCCAGGTTGTCTTTTTCAGAATTGGAAAGGACATGGTCCATAGCCAACAAATGTCAAAATAAACAGTTTTACCTTTTCTAAGAATTAGCTTAAATGCTTTTCTTCTTTTTAAGCCATTTGAAAACAGCAGTGATTACCATGAGAAAAGTGCTGCCTATTTAAGAGGTAATTATAAGGATATGAAATTGACAACAAAATTAGTGTTCTTAGTTGTTTTTTAAAATCATATTAGCACTTCCAGAGCAGACTAGATAAATCTCTTTTCTATTGCTTATAGCTAATTAAAATATTAATACATTTGGAATACAAAAATGTGATCATATGCAGATATTATTTTGTGCATAGAAAATCACCTCTAAGAAAATTAGATACAAAGGATACATAATCATGTGGTTGTTGCCCAAATTAATCTTTAAAACCAGTGGTAGGTAAGAGTTTATTTTTTGGAAAGTTATACATCTTAAATACCTAGGGTTTAAGGAAAATAAAATATAAAACCACAAATGTTTTTTTCTTTGCCAGAATCTAATGTTCATATAAAATTTCATTTATGGATCCAGTATTTATCATTTGAAACTTGTTTAACAAATCATACCTGCAATTCTTATAATTCCTATATTCCACAAACCTGAGAACCTCTTATCAAGTGGCAGACAATGCTATAGGCAGTGAGAATGCAGCTGAAAATACATGGTGTCTGCCCTCAAAACGTTCACTTAAGAATGGAAAACAATTATGATACAATGTTATGAGTGCTACAACAGAGGGCTGTCTTAGCTCAGGCTGCTATAAAAATATAAGCTGAGGGGGCTTATAAACAAATTTTTTTTTCTCACAGCGCTGGAGGCTGAGAAGTCCAAGGTCAAGACTCCAGCAGATTTGGTGTCTGGTGAGGGACCTTTTCCTGGTTCATAGATGGCAGTTTTTTGGTTTTTTTTTTAAGATTTTATTTATTTATTTGAGAGAGAGAAAGAGAAAGCACGAGCAGGGGGAGGGGCAGGAGGGGAGGGAGAGGGAGAGAATCTCAAACTGACACCGTGCTGAGTGCAGAGCCAGACCAGAGCTCAATCCCATGACCTGAGATCATGACCTGAGCTGAAACCAAGAGTTGCAAGCTCAACTGACCAAGCCACCGAGGCTCCCCTAGGTGGCAGTCTCTGTACTGTGTCCTCACATGGCAGAAGGGGTGAGGGAGCTCTCTGGGATCTTTATTATAAGGGCACTAATTTTACTCATGAAGATTCCACCCTCATGACTTAAACACCTCTCAAAGTCTCTACCTCCAAATATTGGGGGAATAGGTTTCAATATATGAATTTTGGGGAGACAAACATTTAGTTAATCCATAACAGGGGTATATGAGGTATAGTAGGAATAAGTATATTTGTCAGGAACAGGGAAACTTTCTCAGATGCTATAAGTTAGGCCAAAAGGATAAGTGTGTCAACAGATAATATGGAGAAAGGAATTAAAAATAGCATGGGCAATAGCACACACACATATATGCATATAAAGTGTTTTGTGTAGCTGGGGCATTGAGTTCATAGGGAGAATGATGACAGTTGAGGCTAGTCAGGGAGACCAGATCAGGAATAGCTAATAATAATCATACGTTTGTCAGGGTAAATAATGGTAGGTGCTATAACAGTTCATAAATCCTAGTGGCTTAATACAACATAAGTTTATTTCTTGCACACACAATAGTTCGACTGAGTGTAAGGTAGATACCCTTCCATGTGGTGAGTCTGGGAACCTGGCTTGTTCCTCCTCCTGGTGCCATCAGCTTCCAGAAGTATCTGGTTAATAGTATCAAATGCTGCCTAGAGGTCAACCCCAAAAGACCTGGAAAGTGCCCACTAGATATGGCAACAAAGAGGTCACTGGTGATACTTTCAGAGGCAGTTCCATTGGAACATAGGAGCAGAAGTCACAGTGCAGTTGAGGGATGCCAATAAACAGCAACTACTCTTTAAAAATCTTGGATGTGAAGGAAAAGAGAAAACAAGGATTATAGATCAAGGAAGACATATTTGAGGAGTTATTTTATTATTCGTTTTTGTCTATTTTTACCATGAGAGAGAATTGAACATGATTGTATGCCGAGACCTATGTTCTTTTGAACTAGGTTAGAGGAAAAGGTTGCAGATGCTGAGAAGAGAGTGATAAAATTGAGTAAGTGAAATCCAGAATGGGCAGAAGGCAATGAGATTCAGAGGACAGATAAAGGAATTAACCTTACAACTAGAGGCCTTATGCTTTGTTCATTGACCTAGAAGAGAAGCAGATGAGAAAAGGAAGAGTAACTTTAAGGCTTTTTCATAAATGTCAAGGACACTGTTTGAGGTTCGAGTATATGTCTATGATAACAAACTTCAAATAATAGAGAAATAAACCATCCATTTTAAAGCAATTATGAATGAAGAGGAGAAGAAAGAAACTATCTGCTTCATTTTATTTAACTAAATTATTCTGTTAGTTTTACCATTTCACCTTCAGGTATTAGATAATTGGGTCCATTCCACTTTTCTCCTTGTAGAATCCACAGCATCCACAAAAATGATTAATTCTAAAGTGTTAAGTTGGACTATCAGTATATTCTAATAAGTTCAGGGCAGTTTACCACTCTAGCTTCACTTTTCCTTTTCTAAAAATGCAGAGATTTACTGACTCTTGTGGAATCATAGAATGTCAGTGTAAAAAGTAAACTTAGAAGGCTTCACAGATACCCCCTACTGGTACATGCACACATTCATTCATTCAATGAACATTTAATGAGTTCCTGTCCCTTTAGACTTATCCCAAGTCAGTCTCTTCCTTATTGTCTATATTTCAGGCATACTGGCCTTCTTTCAATACCCTAACTAACCTCCTTTCAACCTCAAAGTCTTCTCATACTGTATTTATTCCACGTGTTTACAGTACTCTCTGCCCCAACCTTTCCCTTACTCTGACTGATACCTACCCATCTTACAAGTCTCTATAATTCAAGCCATTTCCTTAGAGAACACTTTTTCTTTTCCTCATTAAAGTTTTGTTTTAATGGGTCTCAAAATTCTGTGACAGATTTTTGGTCAAGTTGTTTCCAATAAAAAGTACTGATTTTAAAAACTAATAACTTAAAACTGCCACACACACACACAAAAAACATGGTCCACAAAACATTCTCCTTTCCTTCTGAAGGTTTTATGATGCATTGTTATCATTAACCAGTCCTTTACTATTAAACTTAAATGGCCAATTGACACAAACAGTTCTGAGACCATTCTTCCACCACTGATTAAGACTGGGGTGGCAGGTATTGGGGATAATAGTCATTTAGCCTCTGAGCTTTCTGGGCAGACTTGGTGACCTTGCCAGCTCCAGCTGCCTTCTTGTCCACTGCTTTGATGACACCCACAGCAACCGTGTCTCATGTCACGAACAGCAAAACGGCCCAGAGGAGGATAGTCAGAGAAGCTCTCAACACACATAGGCTTGCCAGGAACCATATCAACAATGGCAGCATCACCAGATTTCAGGAACTTGGGACCATCTTCCAGCTTTTTTCCAGAACGACGATCTATCTTCTCCTTCAGCTCGGCAAACTTGCAAGCAATGTGAGCTGTGTGACAATCCAGCACAGGTGCATATCCAGCACTGATTTGGCCTGGATGGTTCAGGATAATCACCTGAGCCATGAATCCAGCTGTTTCCATTGGTGGGTCATTTTTGCTGTCACCAGCCACATTGCCCCGATGAACATCTTTGACAGATACATTCTTTTTTTTTTTTTAAAGATTTTATTTATTTATTTGACAGAGAGAAAGCACATGAGATGGGGGGAGGGTCAGAGGGAGAAGCAGACTCCCTGCCGAGCAGGGAGCCCAATGCGGGACTTGATCCAGGGACTCCAGGATCATGACCTGAGCCAAAGGCAGTCGCTTAACCAACTGAGCCACCCAGACACCCTGACAGATACATTCTTGACATTAAAGCCCACATTGTCCCCAGGATGAGCCTCACTCAAAGCTTCCTGGTGCATTTCAACAGACTTTATTTCAGTTGTAACATTGACTGGAGAGCAAAGGTGACCACCATGCCAGGTTTAAGAATACCAGTCTCCACTCAGCCCACAGGGACAGTACCAATACCACCAATTTTGTATACGTCCTAGAGAGGCAGACACAAGGGCTTGTCAGTTGGACGAGTTGGTGGCAGAATGCAATCCAGAGCTTCAAGCAGTATGTTTCCACTGGCATTCCCATCTTTACAGGTGACTTTCCATCTCTTGAACCAAGGCATGTTAGCACTTGGCTCCAGCCTGTTGTCACCATTCCAACCAGAAATTGGCACAAATGCTACCATGTCAAGGTTGTAGCCAATTTTCTTAAAGTAGGTGCTAACTTCCTTAACGATTTCCTCATATCTCTTCTGGCTGTGGAGTGGCTCAGTGGAATCCATTTTGTTAACACCAACAATTAGTTGTTTTACACCCAGTGTGTAAGCCAGAAGGGCATGCTCATGGGTCTGCCCATTCTTGGAGATACTGGCTTCAAAGTCACCAACACCAGCTGCAACAATCACGACAGCACAGTCAGCCTGAGATATGCCTATAATCATGTTTTTGATAAAGTCTCTGTGTCCTGGGGCATCAATGATGGTTACATAATACTTGCTGGTCTCGAATTTCCGAAGGGAGATATCAATGGTGATACCACATTCACGTTCAGCTTTCAGTTTATCCAAGACCCAGGCATACTTGAAGGAGCCCTTTCCCATCTCAGCAGCCTCCTTCTCAAATTTTTTGATAGTTCTTTTGTTAATCCCACCACATTTTAGATCAGATGACCAGTAGATGACCACACCAGTAGTAGACTTGCCTGAATCTACGTGTCCAATGACGGCAATGTTGATGTGAGTCTTTTCCTTTCCCATTTTGGTTTAGGTTGAGTGGTGGTTTTCATGACGCCTGTGTTCTGGTGGCAAACCCATTGCAAAAAAGTAGAGAAAACTTTCTTTGTCTGACTTCCAAATTTAGCTTAAATTCCCCCATTTAAACATTCTCTTATTTTCACATATCTTTCTGCCATATTATGTGAAATTTAAGTTGTGTTTAATTACTGTGTAATTTTTTATCTAATGACTCTGTCCTACTAAACACTCTTCCTAAGTTCAGGAACCATAACTGTTTTGCTCACCCCATGTTCCTAAGTCCCTAGAAGAGTGCCTAGAACATAGTAGCTATTCAATAAGAAGTTGTTGAATGACTGAAAGAATAATGACACCCAGTGTTTGACTCTGAAAAATACTGAGTCAGAAAGAATCCTTGTTCCTCAGAAACTCATACCCTATTAGGGAAGAAGTCATGTAAACATGTAATTATTAAACATCATAGTGGCTAGGAAAGCATATGTTGGATCAGAATGCTGAGGTTGAAAACTCCTGGCCTTCCTTCCATACAAACTGTTTATCATTAAGCAAAGAACATAATCTACCTAAGGCCCAATTTCCTCATCTATAAAATGGGGGAAATTATAGTACCAATCTGTGGCAGATAGTGCAGTTGGCTTTACTCCTTACCAATTCCAGTTCCATTATATCTTACCTTCCTACCATAGAGCCTGAAAAACCCAAAACATAAAAAACTTCATTTCTAGATTTCCTTGAAGATAAGTTTCACTTGGAACTTGGGTCCACGGAGAAAGTTAGAGGCAGAAGGGAGCTAAGGTGGTGGCCACATGTGACAAGCGTGGTGGTAGAGACATATGGTTCTTCTGGGACAGTTCCAGTGGAATGTCTTAAATCTAGGTTAGGTACTGATCCTCATGGGTGCCACCAATGAGCAGGTCTTCCAGGATGGCCAAGTAGTGTGAATAGCGGGTATTTCTTCTGTTGGCTTTAAGCCTAGGTGACTTGTTTCTGATTGTGAAACTCCAAGCTTGATTCTCTAGCCCCACAAAGATTCTATGAGTTACTTAATTCCTACAATAAATTCATTTCTGCTTCAAATAGCTAAATGGGATTTTGTAGTCTACAACAATGAAATCTGGAAGATCTAGTCAAACTAATAGTTTGTTGAAAAGGTTAAATATAAATGGAAGCTTTGTCCCTGGAATCTGAATGTAAAGAATCAAACTAAGACAACCAATACTACATTAATATTACTTTCTCTGATTTGGTATCAATACCCTTCCCCAAATTCCTTGAGGAGTGAGTTTTCTTGATTGGTTACATGTATATATGGGTGTAGGTAAAATTTGACAAGCGCTTAATTAAGTTGCTACTTTAAAAATATAAATATAGATAGAAATAAATCTGGAAGAATATACAGCTTAGTTGTGTTATTTTTTCTTCATATTCATCCATATTTTATGATTTCTCAGAAATAAACACATATTACTTACATATCTTTAAAAAGACAAGTCTTTTAGCTATTAATCTGTCTACATTTGTATTGTCCTTTCATTTTTAAAAAAAGTTGTCTAGAAGTGCCTGAGTGGCTCAGTCATTGGGCATCTGCCTTCGGCTCAGGTCATGATCCTGGGGTCCTGGGATCGAGCCCCACATTGGGCTCTCTGCTCAGTGGAAAGCCTGCTTCTCCCTCTCCCACACCCCCTGCTTGTGTTCCCTCTCTTGCTATCTCTCTGTCGAAATAAATAGGTGAAATCTTTAAAACAAAACAAAACAAAACAAAAAGTTCTCTATATGGTCAACTAATCATCAACAAAACAGGAAAGAATATCTAATGGAAAAAAGTCTCTTCATTAAATGGTGTTGGGAAAACTGGACAGCAACATGCAAAATAATGAAACTGGACCACTTTCTTACACCATACACAAAAATAAATTCACAATGGATGAAAGACCTAAATGTGAAATAGGAAACCATCAAAATCCTAGGGGAGAACACAGGCAGAAATCTCTTTGACCTCAGCCATAGCAACTTCTTATTAACCACATTGCCAGAGACAAGGGAAACAAAAGCAAAAATGAACTATTGGGACTTCATCAAGAGAAAAAGCTTCTGCACAGGAAAGGAAACAATAAAACTAAAAGCAGCCTATGGAATAGGAAAAGATATTTACAAATTACATATCTGATAAAGGGTTAGTATTGAAAATCTGTGAAGAACTTACCAAACTCAACACCCGAAAAACAAATAATTCAGTCAAGAAATGGGCATAAGACATGAATAGACACTTTACCAAAGAAGACAAACAGATGGCTAACAGACACATGAAACGATGCTCAACATCACTCATCATCAGGGACATACAAATCAAAACCATGGTGAGATACCACCTCACACCTGTTGGAATGGCTAAAATTAACAACACAGGGAAGAAGAGATGTTGGCAAGGATGTAGAGTAAGGGGAACCCTCTTGCACTGTTGGGAATGCAAACTGGTGCAGCCACTCTGAAGAACATTTTGGAGGTTCCTCAAAAAGCTAAAAATAGAATACCCTATAATCCAGCAATTGCACTACTAGATATTTACCCAAAGGATACAAAAATACAGATTCAAAGGGGTATATGCACCCCGATGTTTATAGCAACATTATCAACAATAGCCAAACTATGGAGAGAACCCAAATGTCCATGAGTGGATAAAGAAGATGAGGTATATATAGCCAATGAAATATTATTCAACCATCAAAAAGAATGAAATCTTGCCATTTGCAACAACATGGATAGAGCTAGAGTGTATTATGCTAAGTGAAAGAAGTCAGTCAGAGAAAGACAAATACCATATGATCTCACTCTTATGTGGAATTTAAGAAAGAAAACAGATGAACATATGGGAAGGGGGAAAGAAAAAAAGAAGAAAGGGAAACAAGCCATAAGTGACTCTTAATGATTAAGAACAAACTGAGGGTTGATGGAGGGAGGAGGGTGGGGGATGGGCTAGATGGATGATGGGTATCAAGGAGGGAACTTGTGATGAGCACTGGGTGTTGTATGTAAGTGATGAATCACTGAATTCTACTCCAGAAACCAATATTGCACTATATGTTATCTAACAAAATAAAAAAAAAAAAGTTCTCATATGCACTAATCTCATGACAACCTTGTTAGGTATTTAGTAATATTGCCATTATACAATATGCAAACAAAAGGCAAGAGATACTAATAATTGGCTTAGTCAGAATTTGAATGCAGGTCTTCTGACTCTAAGTCATGTGCTTTCTTGCTTTACCCTAGCTGGTCAGCAGTTCATTGAGAGCAGCTCTCTCTAAAATGAAAGAAATTTTTATTATCAGCGCCAAATGAAAGACTTGAATTGCAGGCCAGATGGTACCACTGGTTAGGTTTGCAATTTGGGGTGAGGTAATAAGTCTTTATTAGTTCACTTCTATGTATAAAATGATAATACCACAAACTTCTTGTCAAGATGGCCCCGTAAGTTCACAGTACATACCAACTAGTAATAAAGTATACGACTAAATATCAAAAAGACAAGGCCAAGTTCAAAAACCAGGTAAACATTTCAGTGAACCAAAAATGGAATAGAAATCCAAGTAGTACACAGACTTTAGGACTGGGGACTCTGACTCCAATCTAGTTTCTGTATGGCAGAGGGATGAAAAGTGTCCTGTGCAAAACTGGAGATGACATCCAATCTTACTCTTAAAAGTCAGGGTTTGGGGAAAAACAGGGAGCAGGAGAATGGGTGCCTGAAAACCAAAATTCAAAAGTAAACAAAAAAATCACATAAAACTAAGAAGTACAGCTAACAAAAACCACCCAATTCTGATTCATTTCAGATAAATTAATGTCATGGAACACATTCTAACAGATATTTTTAAAAGCTTGAAGAGATTAAAAAATTCATTTAGAAAACAAGAAATTATTAATAAGAAACAGAACACAACTATAAGAGGTAAAGAGTAAAAAGGAAGTGAAAAATAACATTTAGTGAAATGGGTGTAACAATATGTACTCTCTTAGCTTACAAAATTACAAGACTCTTGTGAGGACTGCACAGGAATATGCAAGCTTCTTTTTTGTGAATTAAACTTTTCATACTTTGGGTTGGGGAATGGCAAGAATAGTCTGGGAGATCTCTGTGAGGGAGGTCGTGAGCTATGGAGCTGGCAAGGAATCAGGGTAACTTTAAGAAAAGGAAAGACTGTCATAAAAGAGAAAATATATTGACAAATTCCACTTTATTCTAGAATTTGCCTAAAGAACCAGTCTTCTGGGACACTAACTATGATCTATATGTTAAGGAAGAAAGAATTTATGCTTTTTTAAAGTTTCCCATAAAACAGCACACTTCTATTTCTTGTAGAGAAAGGAGAATGGAAAAAAGTACTACATAAATTAAGGCTATCATTATCTTTCCCTTTTAGGGAAAAAAAATTGCCATCTGGGGAGGCAAATGGACATTGAGAATTTATGCTTTTTCTAATGTGCATTTCTATGGGGATATACATTTGAAATTGGGCATGCAAACCTGAATTTGTGTATGGTACATTTTCATGCAAATGTGCACATGCATATCGTAATGCTTGTTCTGTTCCACTCAAAAGTGGGTGGAGATATGAATATTATTGAGCAAGTATAATTTTCATACAAGTATTGTGTGGGCAGCTTCCATTCTGGTGAAGCATCTTAGCAAAAATGAAAAGCTCAGATGAGAACAGTGGGATTTTGTAAGTGTTAATATTACAGTATGAATGTTTCTAATCATTCTCTAAGCCTGTTTGGTCTTGAATTAAAAAAATAGAACCATCAAGCCAGAGGGCAAATTGTCACATGGAGAAAATTGATAGATGGGAAATAGAATATAGTACTTCATCCTATCTTTTTAAAAATACATATGTATTTTTAAGGGAGAAAATGGCCATTTGAAATTCTATATTTTGGAAGTCAGGCCAAGCATGACATTTGACCTAGGTTATAAATATTCAGTATTGTGAAACTGAAATACT